GCTGTACTACAAACCAGAACATGCTAAGTTTAACCAACTTTCAAAGGTAAGCTACAACAGAATAGAGGTTCAGCACTTATAATAAGAGGTATCATCTTAATCTTACTAGAGAAGTTTTATTATTTCTTGTGTGAAATACATTTAGATACAAAACACCAATTAATGTGGTTATCACATATATGCTTATCATTTGTCAAAAAATAATTTAAGAAATGTTTGCTCTATTACAGATGAGTGATCTTGAGAAAAGGATTTCAACTTTGGAAAAAGTACTTGGAAATGATCTTGCGCAAGTGGTAAGTGACTTCATCTGTCTGCATTATGCTGGAGAAATCCGTCCACTTATAATGGAGTCTTCCAAAAAATGCTCAGTAGATTAAAGGCTGAGTATTAACCTGGATATTTTGCTTCAACATAATTTCATGTTATATACTAAATTGTTTATGACAGTTATTTCAAGCTGTTGATAGGTTGATTAAAGACTATAGTACTTAATTATAGTCTTGCTGAAATTTCAGTGAGAAAGCAACAAAAAAATTGTGTATAAATCACTGTTGGCAACTCAAGCTGCAAGCTTCTATTGTTAAACTAACCAATCAGAACCAAGCACTTTTTTTCAAACAAACCAAAGAGYCGCAAAGCATCCTGGGTGATACTGAGCCTTTTAAGAATTCTCTCTTCAAATTTTTATGGCATAGCATGGATGCTGTTTGATAATATAGAATGATATTATTTCATCCATCAATACCAGTTAATGTTTTATTTTCAAATAAACTGTCAACCAATCTACCTATCTACCAACTTAACATGTAATATAATGGGTAGCCCTTCACGGTTTTGCAAGATCTTGTCCGATTGGTTTACTAGCTATTTGTTAAGTAAAAGAAAACAATAGGATTTAAGAACAAGCAAACAATGAGCATTGTTTTATTCCTCCAATCACAAGAAACCTTACAAAACTTGTGAAGGATAAACAGAATATATGATAATTATGTTTTTACTCTTTGCTGTTTTTCATAGTCATCTCTAACAGCYGATCTTGAAATCAAAGAAAAAAATATCTTGGTAAGTGAACTAAATAAATATSATTTATATTCAATGTAAAAATTGATTGTCACAGGGTACATTATGTAAGTTGTGTGTTTTTTTGTTTGTTTTTTTTTTTTAATAGGGAATTGTTTCAGCCATTCAATCCAAGGTTGCCTTGCTTGATCCAAACCATGTTGAACACATTGATGCAAGGCTTCAGGTAAGATATAGACTGAGTATCAGGCTCTCAAAGGGTATTGAGGCACATTACCAAGAGGAAGAAGAAGAGTGAGAAGAATTTGAGTGTTGCATTGATAATTAGTTATTGGTTTAACTTGTTTGTAAGATTATAGAATCTAGTTGGTGTAATCATGAAAGATTAACAAATAATGCAATTTACTTGGTAATGTTTTAGGGTATCCTACACCATGTAACTCAGGTTTCAGAGAAGAAAGATTCAGTTGAAAATGCAGCTAAACAGTCTAAGGTAAGTGTTAGTTGTGTAAAAAGATAAATTTAACACATTAAAAAAGTAGGTGAAATAACTTACTGACATTTCGGACATTAATCCTTCATCGGAGTAAAGAGGTAAAGTAAGTGTTACCATGGTGACAGGATTTGATTGGAATGATTGATTGATGGGTTGATTAATTGATTGATTGATTATGGAGGTTGATTATGAGTAATTGATTGATTTTGACTGATTGAATAAGAAATGATTGATAGCTTATTGACTAAGTGTTCAGTTGATTCACAGACCAAATATTTTAATCTTGTGGTCATTGTTTTTTTGTTGTTTTTTTTTTCAGGTCAATGAACTTTATGACCTCATCAGCAAATGGGATTGTGTTGTTGATGTTGTACCTGACGTCGTAAGTTATCACAATACTCCAGTTTCGAATTCTCCAGTGCTCTGTGTTAGCCTCATTTGTGTGCAAACAGTGTGAGACTTCAATTCAATTTTATTGTCTTTATTCACAAATTACATGAGTTTACTCAGGCTGTCAATGAAACAAAAGAATATTTATGTTGCTTGGTTTTGAGGCTAACACAGAGCAACCAGAACTCGAAATTGGAGCATTGAAGAATTTCTTAATGTGGTACAGTGAAGCCTAGGGAGACTCCCTTCATAATGAGAAATTCTGAAAATGACAYCTAAAGGGTGCTGCATCATTGGATTCATGATTGCAGTGATGAAATGTCATTTTGGTTTTGTTTCTCGACTTCATTTGTAATTTGGCATTTGCATCAGATGCCGTCTGCTCATGCCAGTTTATGAGTTTACTCTGACAGCTAGGGSCGTCTTATGTCCTAAAAGGGACCACAAAGCTTAGTTGGTGAGAATTCTTGCCCTTATCACCCAAAGTAGGACAAACAACTGATTTCAAACCCTAATTGTGGCGCCCTCATTTGTAAGGGAGACATGCAGTGAAATTGGAAATGTAATGTTCACAGTTTCTTATTTTTAGAGGCACAAAACATTATGCTTACTTAGATTATTTATTTATTGATTTATTTTCATTTAGATCAAGCGTCTTCATTCTTTGAGGTTTCTCCATGAACAAGGTAAAACATATGTTATTGTACATGATTAATGTTGCTGTAAAATTAGACAAAATTATACTGATGTCAAAAATGGTCAGTAACCTTTTTCAGTGATGTTCTTGTTTTGTGGTATTATAGTCATGTGAAAGAAAACTTTATCAGCTTATGGAAGGCAAGGGTGGTGTAGTGGGGTTGACTGTAGTCTAACGTCATGTCCTCAATTTTTGGGAATCAGGGATCAAATTTGAGAAGAAATTTGGGATCCTGGACCAAAAAATGGGATCAGGAGCAAAAACAATGATGTCACAAACATGCTGTAAAACTATATTTAAATATAGACACAAACCTTTATTAAAAATACATCATTACAAACAAAAAACCCTAAACATCACAATGTTTCATTGAGCTAAAGTATAAGAAGTTCTTAAATTATTATATGAATACAAGCTATGTTTCTCTCCATAAAGGGAGTGAATTTGGACAAACACTTGTTCAGCTTGACCGTGCTCAACATGAAGTCACAGATCAGTTAAAGACACAAGAAAAACTCTTAAAGGAGGTACTAAAAAATCKTTTCTTTTCTTTTYCTTCTCATTTTCACTCACTAACCACCTATTTATCTTCTATTAGGTGGATCTAAAGTTTACCTCCAATATGTCTGCTATTCAAGAAAACTGTGGCAAAATTGAAACCAGGATTAGTGCCCTGCAATCAAAGATTGAAAAACGAGGTCGATGATRAGTTTATTGGACATATTAGAGATCAAAGNATTACATGAGTTTACTCAGGCTGTCAATGAAACAAAAGAATATTTATGTTGCTTGGTTTTGAGGCTAACACAGAGCAACCAGAACTCGAAATTGGAGCATTGAAGAATTTCTTAATGTGGTACAGTGAAGCCTAGGGAGACTCCCTTCATAATGAGAAATTCTGAAAATGACATCTAAAGGGTGCTGCATCATTGGATTCATGATTGCAGTGATGAAATGTCATTTTGGTTTTGTTTCTCGACTTCATTTGTAATTTGGCATTTGCATCAGATGCCGTCTGCTCATGCCAGTTTATGAGTTTACTCTGACAGCTAGGGGCGTCTTATGTCCTAAAAGGGACCACAAAGCTTAGTTGGTGAGAATTCTTGCCCTTATCACCCAAAGTAGGACAAACAACTGATTTCAAACCCTAATTGTGGCGCCCTCATTTGTAAGGGAGACATGCAGTGAAATTGGAAATGTAATGTTCACAGTTTCTTATTTTTAGAGGCACAAAACATTATGCTTACTTAGATTATTTATTGATTTATTTTCATTTAGATCAAGCGTCTTCATTCTTTGAGGTTTCTCCATGAACAAGGTAAAACATATGTTATTGTATGATTAATGTTGCTGTAAAATTAGACAAAATTATACTGATGTCAAAAATGGTCAGTAACCTTTTTCAGTGATGTTCTTGTTTTGTGGTATTATAATCATATGGAAGAAAACTTTATCAGCTTATGGAAGGCAAGGGTGGTGTAGTGGGGTTGACTGTAGTCTAACGTCATGTCCTCAATTTTTGGGAATCAGGGATCAAATTTGAGAAGAAATTTGGGATCCTGGACCAAAAAATGGGATCAGGAGCAAAAACAATGATGTCACAAACATGCTGTAAAACTATATTTAAATATAGACACAAACCTTTATTAAAAATACATCATTACAAACAAAAAACCCTAAACATCACAATGTTTCATTGAGCTAAAGTATAAGAAGTTCTTAAATTATTATATGAATACAAGCTATGTTTATCTCCATAAAGGGAGTGAATTTGGACAAACACTTGTTCAGCTTGACCGTGCTCAACATGAAGTCACAGATCAGTTAAAGACACAAGAAAAACTCTTAAAGGAGGTACTAAAAAATCTTTTCTTTTCTTTTCCTTCTCATTTTCACTCACTAACCACCTATTTATCTTTTATTAGGTGGATTTAAAGTTTACCTCCAATATGTCTGCTATTCAAGAAAATTGTGGCAAAATTGAAACCAGGATTAGTGCCCTGCAATCAAAGATTGAAAAACGAGGTCGATGATAAGTTTATTGGACATATTAGAGATCAAAGTAACTAATAGCTGTTATTATTATAGTGGTGACTTTACAATAGACAACTTAAAATATGACAAGAAGTACGATGTAGGCTCCTCCGCAGGCGTCTCTTTTCCTTTCTATTACTTTTGGGCTTCCTGTTTTCTGAGGGAGATTTCAATTCTTGCAACCTCGTTCCCAAGGTTTTGGCAGAGCAGCCCTAGGAACGAGGTTACATTTCTTGCAGGGTTCCCAAGGCCCCCACTTGGCCAAGAGCATACCAGAGGGATCCCAAAAGGTTAAAAGAGAGTGTTGCTTGCGGAGGAGGCTAAGTACAAGGATGAAAACGAGTTCATAATTGGCTTAATACGCGTTGCTGATTATGAACTGTAGTCCTGCAGATGGACTGAAACAAAAAATTATAGACAAGAAGTTGAATGAAATCAATCTTCAACAGCTCACTTAAAGCCATTTTTAAAATTTTACTTGTAAGGCGTGTTCTCGTCCTTGTTTTCAAATCTAAATTTCTCTATTTATGAAGTTTACTGTATGTTCAATGTCTATGTCTGTAAGGCCGCATATACTGTAGGCGAAAAGGACTGTCAACTTGTTGCAGTTTTAGAATGACACAAAACTGTAGGACAGGTTTGAAACATCAGTTACTATGTTTGAAATGACAGAGAAAGAAAAACAACTTCTCTCAACTTTTTTCCGACTTTTTTTGCTTTTCTCGACTGTGATCATGGCGAATAGCCAATCAGAATGCTGATATTATGATAGTGGAGACTAGCGGCAAACTAGTGTGAGCTGTGTAGATGTCAGTTCTAAATAAACAGTTGTGCAAAAAAATAAATTTTAACACCGTAAAACTTAGAACTTAGAACTTAGAATATATACTTCTAAAGTAGCTTTCGCTAATACTAGAAGGGCCAGAGGCCAGAGTGAGGCAGACACTGAGGGTGGTCACGGCCAGGGTTTGTTACGTCCTCAGTGGTTCTTTTACGTCCCCCTGATACAGTATATAGAGAATTGTAGGGAGACGGGACCTACGGTTTAACGTCCTTATCCGAGAAGACGTGATGATCTAACCATTTGCAGGTAGAGAAACAAAGGCAGCAACATCTCCTCAATTATTTTAAGACCCTGAGTGGTGGTCCGGCCAGGKGTTGAACCCCTGACCTCCCGCACAATAGTCCGGTGCTCTGCCAACTGAGCTAACCGGTTGTCGGTCGAAAAAAAGTATTCGCAACACTAAACTAACTGACGTTTCGGACGTTAATCATTCGTCGGAGTAAGACTACATCTAATATACATAGTTCCAGCACTTGGCAATGTTCATTTGGTTACTAGCTGTATATTAGTATGAGGTCTCATTGACTAGTAACCTTTATACGAACACTACGGCAAGCCGACCTCAATGCTGGTGAGATGAGCCCTAGCCACACCACCGGGAACTCCGTGCCCTACTCTTAGTCGAATAGTGGTRTGGGTTCTTTAACGTCCCTCTGATGCTAATGAGAAGTGTAGAGAGACGGGACCTCCGATTTAACGTCGTTATCCGAGAGGACGTGAAGATCTTACCATTTGCAGATGGAGAAACAAAGGCAGCAACTTTTACTCAATTATTTTAAGACCCTGAGTATTGGTCCGGGCAGGGTTCGAACCCACGACCACCCGCATTGTAGTCCGATGCTCAAAGTATGCGACAGACTAATGTCTGAAACGCCAGTAAGTTGTTTCACCTACTTTTTTACGGTGTTAAAATTTATCTTTTTGCACAACTGATATCATGATAGTCCAAAGTTTTATGACGTTATACCAAAAGCCACTATTAGGCTGTGTAATAGAATTTTTTATTTGACCTTTAACTGCCAAATTTCGGGGAGAATTTTGACTAATTTTTNGTGCCCTGCAATCAAAGATTGAAAAACGAGGTCGATGATGAGTTTATTGGACATATTAGAGATCAAAGTAACTAATAGCTGTTATAATTATAGTGGTGACTTTACAATAGACAACTTAAAATATGACAAGAAGTACGAGGTAGGCTCCTCCGCAGGCGTCTCATTTACTTTCCACCCCTCTACTTTTGGGCTTCCTGTTTGCTGAAGGAGACTTCATTTCTTGCAACCTAAGGTCTTAGCAGAGCAGCCCTAGGAACGAGGTTACATTTCTTGCAAGGTCCTCAAGGCCCCCACTCGGCTAATAGGATACCAGAGGGATCCCAAAAGGTTAAAAGAGAGTGTTGCTTGCGGAGGAGGCTAAATACAAGGATGAAAACGAGTTTAAAATTGGCTTAATACGAGTTACTGATTATGAACTGTAGTCCTGCAGATGGACTGAAACAATTAATTATAGACAAGAAGTCGAGTGAAATCAATCTCCAACAGCTCACTGAAAGCCATTTTTAAAACTTTACTCGTAATCGTGTTCTCGTCCTTGTTGTCAAATCTAAATTTCTCTATTTATGAAGTTTACTGTATGTTCAATGTCTGTATCTGTAAGGCCGCATATACTATAGACGAAAAGGATTGTCAACTTGTTGCGGTTTTAGAATGACACAAAACTGTAGGACAGGTTTGAAACATCGATTACTATGTTTGAAATGAGAGAGGAAGAAAAACAACTTCTCTCAACTTTTTTTCGCCTTTTTTTGCTTTCCTCGACTGTGATCATGGCGAATAGCCAATCAGAATGCTGATATTATGATAGTGGAGACTAGCGGTAAACTAGTGTGAGCTGTGTCGATGTCAGTTCTAAATAAACAGTTGTGCAAAAAAATAAATTTTAACACCGTAAAAAAGTATTCGAAACACAACTGACGTTTCGGACGTTAATCCTTCGTCGGAGTAAGACTCTACATCTAAATCTACATAGTTCCAGCACTTGGCAATGTTCATTGTGTTACTAGCTGTATATTAGTATGAGGTCTCATTGACTAGTAACCTTTATACGAACACTACGCCAAGCCGACCTCAATGCTGGTGAGATGAGCCCTGGCCACACCACCGGGAACTCCGTGCCCTACTTAGTCTCATGCTAATGAGAAGTGTAGAGAGACGGGACCTCCGATTTAACGTCGTTATCCGAGAGGACGTGAAGATCTTACCATTTGCAGATGGAGAAACAAAGGCAGCAACTTTTACTCAATTATTTTAAGACCCTGAGTATTGGTCCGGGCAGGGTTCGAACCCACGACCTCCCGCATTGTAGTCCGATGCTCAACCAACTGAGTCAATCCGTATGCGACAGACTAATGTCTGAAACGCCAGTAAGTTGTTTCACCTACTTTTTTACGGTGTTAAAATTTATCTTTTTGCACAACTGATATCATGATAGTCCAAAGTTTTATGACGTGATACCAAAAGCCACTATTAGGCTGTGTAATAGAATTTTTTNGTAGAGGCGATCCTCTAGGTGGTAGAGGCGATCCTCTAGGTGGTAGAGGCGATCCTCTGGAAGAAATCAGAGGTGAGCAAGGGATCACGACAGAATGTTGTATATTACCTCTTTTAATCCCTTTCTTCGATCGATTCGTTCGCTATAGAAATAACAACCATTTTGTTTTGTACTATGGTTTTTCGCTGACCCTTAAGAATGTAAGGGTAATTATCGATCGTATCAACGGATTAAAAAAGGTTTTTTTGCCGTGCTCCCTTGAGGTGAAAAGCGATTTTATGAAGAAAATGGCGATCGTCAGTTCGGTTATTAGCCGATGGCGCCATTGGAGTGAATTCGATTCCCTGGGTGTCTTAGTGTTTGGTTTCGCGACCTACTATGCTAATTTCGGCAAGTTTGAACTTCTAAAAAAAAGCAATCGGCTAAAGATTTTGAGTAGGATCGAATGGCTTGGCACTTTAAAATGCAGAGTACAGGGTAGTCTCCGTCGAGAAAATACACTGTTACCCATGAATCTTTGCAAGTGCAACCCCCAAGAAAGCATGTGCCATTCTCTAATGTCCTTGTCTAACTTGTAAGCATGTGCAGCTCGGATCTCACCAAAACAATAATGACTGTAAGTAATATATACAATATGAGCGGGCGATCTGTATGTAATATACAACTCTCTTCATGGGCTATGATTTCTATTGTGTTTTGTCTTATGAATATTAATGAGTTTTATAATCTTAATTTAAATACGTGGGATTTTGGTAGTTAAAGGTTTAAAGCCGCAATATATTACAGCCAAACCTTTMTCAGCAGATATTGATAAATGTTACAGTCTAATGAGCTGAATTATAAATATTTATATAGAGCGTGTAGAGGGAAGATGTACTGAAGTCTTGAAACGAATAAAAATACTCGGCTATGGAACGKTCGTTTCTCGTGATATTCCTTGGTCACTGAGCGATTAAAGGAACGTTCTCTTTTACTATGAAATGAAAAAAAGATAAGTAAAATTGGACATCATTCTCACAAAAAGCTTAAACAAGCAGAAACTGACAGAATTAGTGAGGCATTAAGATGGTATCCACCCACAAGGTCCCACAACCTACTTCCGTAATGGAGATACTTGTTCATCTATCCCTGGCAGCAGTCCATAACGTGCATGACGCTTTTAATTAAACTGCAAGGGTGGATCCAAGATTTTTCAAAGAGGGGGCGGTTGAAGCATTCAAAAGGTGGTGTACCATTAAAGTAATTGCCAAAATGATCGCTCCCCGTGGCTATTCGCAGGAAATAATTTGAGGAGAAATTTGAAATATCTTGTTCTCGCAGGTGAGTGCAAAACCCGCTAAGTTGATCCCTCACCCAATGAAATGGTAGCTGTAGTTTGCACAATGTAGGTGGAAAACAATGTTTGTCAGGTCAGAGAATGATTTTCATGGAGACCGTGAATGCCAGTGGATAGTTGACGAGACCTGGAACTTGCTTAATGAATAGTTACGTGAATGAGAACGACGATTTCGAATGGATATTTGAAGTTCCTTTATTTTTCACATAACAAAAATCAGTTTTTGTAAAAAAAATTAAATTTAAGTCCGCACTGAATCTCGGTTGACCACTGACCCGTTATACATTTTGCTGTGCATTCTACATTAGAAAACGATTGCCAAGTAGACTTTTTGATTGGCTTTGAAAATGCTTTTCCRTAAAAGATATTTAGTTTTGAATATTATCTCCAGTTTACGCAGTCGTGCGACTAAACTTACTACTGAGTGATTTCACGGATTTGGGGCTAAAGTAGACTCGATTCAGTCGATTACCTTCAGATTATAAGACATTTCGTCTCGCCTAAAGACACCAAATGACAAATGATCGATAAGATTGCTGTATGGTTTTTCACGTCTTAAACAAGGATRACAGTTTTAGGTTTATCAGCTGAAGGTGTCTACCACTGACGACAAATGTAACTATCAACTCGAGATAATTTRCTCACAGGAAATTACTTGAAGCAAGTTTATAGATCGTAGTAGGATTGTTAAGCGATAAGTTTCCGTGAGGAATGGCTCTGGGAGGTAAAATATGCTYCACGAACYATCAAAAGATAAACATCCACTTCCTCTTSAGCAATCTTTTGATAAACTCTTGTCTCGTGAAGTTAATCAAAGTTTGTTAAAGAGTGAAAACGTGCTATTTTACATAGTCTGGGTAAACTTTTCTTGTGATGTCATCACGCACAAATTATTCTATTTCCTTTACAAAGAAAATGCATTTGAAATTACAAAACTTTTTAATTTCGGAATTTTGTAAACTATATTTTGCCAATGCGGTAACGCAAGAATTCTCAACGCATACAGCTGATGAAAGAGGTGAAAGTATGAAATTGAGCTGCAAACTAGTACAAAAGTCTTGTTCATAAGCACTTAATAATATTTGATATCACTACGCTTTAAGTTTAAGTAGTTTTTATTTCATAGAAAACACTTAATTAAACTTAACCTACATCAATTGAACGAATGACGAGGATTCATTTGCGCGCAGTCAAAGTTAAAGAACCATAATAATTATAATCTTTTCGCCTTTTAAACGCACTTTCCAAGAGGCTAATTAAGTAAAGCTTTAGGCCCCTACTTGATGGTAATAATTAATGGCGAGTAAATAAGTTAATATGAATAGGCATTGAATCTTAAATGCGCATTAAGAGTGTTAACCGGTTTGGTAGATATGTGATACAAACTCCAGATACAAGTGCAGCTAATTTTCAGAAAGAACAATGTTGTCGTTATCATCTTGTGTGGTGTACCATGACAATGTCCCCGCTAAACCGGCTCCATCAGTTAATTACATGCGACATATTGGAAAATAGACGATAAGAAATAGCTTAGCATGCWACATGATTAAACTTAAAGTGGAATTAGATGAAGTGTTTATTGGTRTCTAGGATTATCAGTTTTCTGGACCAATTATGCTGGTTCAAAAGTTCGGATTACGATAGCAATGCTCAACCTTTAACTGGCTTATTTCAAATATTTGTGGAAATCTCCAATAATCTATCTTCTTATGATCTTTGCCCAAGAAGGTGCATGATGCCAACACCTCGTATTGCATTCCATCACTTTCAATTGTTTGCTTTCTTAAGTTTCCTGCCAYCATTAGCTCTCTAAAGGCCGATTTAGACGACACAACTTTTGCTTACAACCATCGCATGCAACCTGCGTAAGTTATCCTTACGACAAGACTACAACTGTCGTATGGATTTTAAACAATTGCTTAATAGCCTCACGACAGTTGCAGCTATGTTGTAAGGATGACTTACGCAGGTTGCATGCGATCGTTGTAGGGAAAAGTTGTGTCGTCTAAATCGGCCTTAACTTAAGGAAGAAGAAGTCTCTTTTCACCTAGTGTTCTTCTGGTAACCAACCCAATGCAGTAGCCGTTTCCATTCTAATAATGTCATCTTCAGTTTTTCCCCTTTCTACGACGTTGCATTTTACCACTAATGTTATCGACCTCTGCAAGTTCTAAACTTCTCTATGATATCTTTTGCTGCAATCTTTCTCTCTGACAATGAAAACTGTCTACCTTCTTTCCATCCAACATTGCCATGGTTTAAATCCTTATCAATACACTTGCCTTGAGTTCGACCTATATTTGCCGGGCACTTATGAATACAGAGAACAGCATCAGTTATATACTGGATGTAGTCCAGCGGGTAGAAATTTTAGGACAACAACTTACCTTACAGGAGGTATAGTTAAATATGATAGCAAATAAAGGAATCTGTTTTCATTATTGCCATTGCTTTCGTGTTTGGCTTGATTTCTTTTAAGTTTTTATAATCACTCCATTTGTGAAAATAAAATGGTGAAAATGGTAAAATATCAGTAAAAATTTAGGTGATGCACCAAATCAACAAAACTTGCGCGTCGCAGTGTGAACATTACATTGGAACCTCTAGTCTTACCGCAGAAACCAAATAAAGGCCGCAGGAAACTATTGTCATTAAATTCTAGTGTCCGCTATGACGCCGCAACCATTCATAAAAGAATGTATGGCGATAAAAGGCCCACCCAACCTAYATGTACTACCGTTGTCGTTGGCAAATTTATTAGCACATTACAATTAGTCAATGTAATGTGAAGTCTTGTCAGCAAATTTTTGCCTGACGATAGAGCTTACACTACGCTTGTAGTATTGAAACGATGGAGTTTCGTGGCGTTTTCATATCTGTTTTTCTCCGTCTGKCAAGGAAAKGAAAAACTACGCAAAAACGATGCGAAAGCTAATCAGTGTGGAGAAAGACTCGATGTTCGATCAGATAGTCAAGGAATACGTTTCTTTCATGTTAAAACTATAATCCTACTGATCAGTTGTTTGAAACGTCAACATGAGAAGCTCGTGCATAAGATCAAGTTTGGAGAATTACAAGAATCGATAAGGGACCGAGACTCCAGTGTCATTCATAGACAGGCGCTTTACAAGTTTATCAGGCCATCGTCCAGTGTCARTCATTTGAATATCTCAGCTTTRCAGTGGTCCTGAGTCCAACTGGTACAGGCGTGGGCATCAATAAAAACAACTTTATTACAACTTTAGACYCCGATAGACAAACTATCCATAGTTGGCGCCATGGGGAAATTACTTAAAGATAGCATCGTTGTAATCCTGGCAGTTTTGTTGGTTCACTGTTAAAGTTTCTCCGCCGTGCAATCTGCAGTGGCAATCTAAGAAGAATTTGCATCCAGTTTGCAAAGAAGAGCTTTATCTTAAGTACGCGCGTGAAGATCTTGTGTGTGAGGTGTTTAAAGTTCTGCACTTCACAACAGAAATGTATCTTGGTCGGTTTATGTCAAGAGCTTTATAGAACACATAAATGATTAAAACAAGATCGAATATCTGGCCTGGACAATAGATATTCAGTGATAATGATCCATTGTCGCACATAAGAAAGCAAATTGAATTTGGGACTGTTTTCGCAACCGATCAAGTATTGTTAGAATGATATAYATTTTATTAATGTGACTCATGGAAGAATCAAAATTTTCAATCAAAGTTATGAAACTTTTCGTACAAATAATTATTGTCATGCTTTTCAATTCCTATACTAACAGCTGAATATAATTTTCGAATAGTCCACAGAAAATAAGTGTATTTGCAAATGTGCTCGACTATGGAAGATTCTGGACCGTATTAATTAAAAATATCTATATATAAACGTCTATTTTTGCTTCATTATTTGTTTACTTCTGTTACGGTTCAATCTTGAAAAAATGATTTTGAAAAACTGAAAAATGTTATCTAAAAAAGAAAAGWACCTATATTTGTAATTAACTATTAAACGTTGCGAAATCGTGYTGTCCWTGAAGCGTGTGGCTGTTAAGGTAACACAATAAGGGTGTGGTCTTGACCGACAAAAGCCGCATGCATGTGAAGTGACTTTAATTGTAATCACCGTCTGCATTCAGTGCCGATTGATTTCTATTGTTGTTGCCATTGAAAGATGCGATGTTTTATTGCTCAAGCGATGAGTGTAAAGCACAGGGYATTTAATAAAACGAAAATKACTTTTCATCGGCTTGTTATGGAAGTATTTGAGCGAGTGACGAGGGTGTAGAATCTCGGAGACAAGATAGAAGGCAATCAGATTAAAGCCAAAGCATGGCAGCGATTACACAGCGAAACTGATCTCAATTTSCTTGACTTATTCATTAAACCCGACGTCAGGCTTATCGATCGTTTGAAGCCCAATCATTAGAATGCATCACTGAGCACTGCTATCGCTCTAAAAAGGACCAAAAAACGCTTAAAAAACGTTAGGCTTCAGTTCAAGTTTGTTCAGCAAGTCTGTAAGTGAAATTTAATGAAGATAACTTGGTTATCAAAAGATGCTTTGACCTTCATACACTTTAGAAGTTCTTTGGCTGTGGTTTTCCATCTGGGAAATTCATCAGATTGCCCTCGGGGTGAAATCTCTTGAATGGAAGTGTTTACACGATACATGTTATGGTATATCATGTGGCTGGGTTTCCAATGAATCGCATAATGCAATTGATATCACCCGCCCTCGCATATAAAGTTCACRAAGCTAACCTTTAGTAGTTACCAATACTACACATAGTTTCACAGCTATTACAACTTGCAGCAACTGCCACAGCACATTGCAAGGACGGCAAGAAGCGGCTGTAGAAAGAGGTGGCTGCAGGCAGCGTTCTCTAATCGTCAAAAAGGTATGGAATTGAAAAGTAAAGGGTCTTAAGCTTGTTTGATTGATAGCAAATGATTCCTAGTGATGTTTTTRCCCCAATGGCCCGAACACTAAGGGTTTGTCTCAGTCTRGGATRAAAAAATTCGTCCAAACTGTAAACAACGTTTATTTGTATATCCCATATTTCACACCTTGGAAAGTGCTAAACTTATACTACGATCGTTCAAGCTGTTATATGAATTCACTATGTACTATAAATGACAATAGTACGTGCAACACACATAAGCTTCCTTAAGTCTTGTAATTGATTGACTTGGCGGTAAGACGGACATCAGACCTGAGTCTGTTATCCAATACTTTACAATTAGTGTCCTCTTTCACTACCRCACAATAAACCACGATCGGAAATTACTCGTCTAGTCTAAAATCAAATCAAAACTTCCCATTGCACTTTTAAACTAAATTCATCACCAAATTTCACTCAAATTTCATTTGTCAACCAGCTAAACCATAAGATAAAGAGATTTAATGCCACAGGAATCCCATCAGCCCAGTTGGAATCATCTAGACTGTAKCTTTGAAGTCTGATCGCTGTAGGATTGTAAATGGTACTTCAATTATYGCTTAAATCCCATTAAATACTTCCTTAGCTCCAAGCACTTCCTTCGGCGTCCACACACTCAGTATTGTACCATATTTAGTAAACATGCCGCAGTAGGAAAATATAATAATGAGAGGGGAGGGGAAGGGTAACGATTTGCTGCCTGTCAAGGTATTGATGCTTTTAAATTATCACTAATATTCTCATAATAATTATTATTATCATCTGCAACTCTATCACCACGAATATTATCAGTTATATATCGAAAACTGTTTCTACATTTTTGCTTTTTAAGATTTCCTTTTTTTTGCCATATGCAGTGCCGGCTCAAGTATTTGGCCGGATGCAGGGGACGCGATCCCCTTCCTGRGACCTTGTATATCCTGTAATGTTTTACCATAATATTTGTCGCCTTTGCGAGATTTTATGCATCCCCTTCGTGGGGTTACCTTCAACCCTTCGCCTTCAACCTCGAGCATGTTTGTCTCAAAGCGAGACAGTGGTTGAGCTTATCATGATAGATATATCTTTCAAAATTGTCGTAAGGTGTGAATAAAAGGTATCTATCACTACAGTCTCGTTTTGATGCAAAGGTTAGGTACCTTTAAAATGGCGCTGGAAAATGGAGTATTGGATGATGTTTAATAGAATGTTCAATGCTTATTCTAATATTGACATCTAACACCTTCAAACAAGGGGTGCAAACTTTGGCGACAAAAATGTGATGGGTCACTCGACGGTGTTCGATGGAGTTGGGTMATTCTGAGCATGTCTCGAGTAGACATCTTGGTAGATTGGTAGAAGAACATTATGGCTTTTGTACTTAGGGATTGCCAGGAGCATGTTTATGACTATGATAGGGGTGGGTCACTGAATTGTCCTCATGACGTCACTACGACTTTGAAAGGGTGGACACGGACACCCTACACCCCCCTACTCCTTAAATATGTCCTTGTAACTAGTTGTGATTTCAAAACGGGACACTTAGTCTCCTTCGTGGCCTTTGGGATGGACAGGAAGCCCGTCAAATCGGTAGGATACGTAGGAGACTACGTTGTAGACTACACTCGACAGGCCGTCCAACATTTGATGTTTGGACTCCTTGCTTGGCGTTGTCAGGTTGCTTGATGGTACAGTCAAACATTTACCGAGCATGATTGAAAATCTCTTTTCCTCTCTTATTTGATGTTTGCAGTAATTGCAGACTTTGCAATTTSGCAAACCAAGAATGCCTCAAATCAATGTTCGATCGACCAACAACATGAAATTTCAACGTTGTGTTATCTTACATTGCATGTCGGTTTTGTCGGCGATATACGTTTTGTATAAGGGCAGCTCGACCGCCGACCATGTGTAGCATTGACAAAAATCTCGTTCTTTTGCCCCACTTCCTTCCCTTCAAATCAGGTTATGTTACCCCAGACTCGCACCCAGTCGTTTCTCTTATTCGTTTTTCGGGTCACGGTACATCCTTCCCTTGATCCTTTGCGCGCGCCAGAGAAGTGAAGAGTAACGACTTGGTACGAGTCTGATGTTCCACCTGGTTGCAACATGGTTGGTGTCTTGACCCTTTAYATAATGTTATTAGGTGTTAATGTGTCTAAAGAGCAGTACCTACGTTAGTAATGCTATAAAAAACTCACTTAATAACAGAGTAAGCCATTCTCCTGGGTCTCAAAGGCTGTGGCACAAAATACTCCGCCAAATTTAGTAAAAATTGATTTGAATCAAGAATATTTAGAAAGRCCTTTCAAACTTTATTAGGAGGTCATTTCATAAAGGAGTTAAAGGACTTTGCAGGGCGTTGCTGGTCAACGGACATTCAACAAAGTCGAAACCGAGTGCAATAGAGTTCGTAGGCGTACGTCTATCTATTATTGACTGTATTTTTAGTATTTTTTAATCTTGTTAGTATGACCCGCTTTTATATTATACCGGATGTAAAACATTTAAGGTAGTAACAATAATAACGGGCTACATTAGCTTGTGTTTTTCATTCAAACTCTATGATGGAATTAAGAAATAAAATCTGCGCGCACATCTGGAGTCCTGAAAAGACTTGTAAAGTTGTACAGCTCAACACACAATTATTAATATTAATTGTAATCAGGGCAGGATCGGTGCAAAGAAAAAAAAAAAAACAAAAAAACAAAGAACATGCATTTAACAAGATGAGGAGAGTGAAAATTGCAACAAAAAATTTCAATTTTAGTGCTTTAAACCAATGAAACATAGTAATGAAAGAAGATGAAATACAAAGTAATACAAATATATATTTGCGCAAAAGTTTGTCAACGCTTCGAAGGAACTTGTTCCCACATTTCAGCTTTGAAGGCATTGTTCTAAGGACCAACCTAGCGCTCATGACGTACTCTTGGTATAGCGGTATTTATTTAGTAAATCAAAAAGCACTCAAAACTGAGCTAAAAATGTTTTCATTTACGACGCACAATTAGTTTTTCCTTCTTCTATTATAAGTACCATGTGCTGCCCACATAGTCCAATTAATTAACTCATGTAACAACAAACCTCTTATTTGAACTCATAACAAGACTTCTACAAATGATTTCTATGGGAGAAAACCATAAAAAAGTCCAAAAGTTGATATACTATTGGGGATTTTAAACCGCATATACCTATATATATATGGCCGCCTAATATCACTCGATTTGAAAGAAAACTTGTTGAGAAATAAATAATAAAGTAAAGCAAATACCAAAAYTGTAGATAAATCTGACATATTTGTGATGTAGGATCTTACATCGCAATGCATTATGGGGGCGTTCATGGTCAAAGAAAAAAAAATGGGATTATAAAGAGAATTTCGTTTTTGTTTTTGTTTTTGTTTTAAAATAATTTCATGTCCATCTTATTTATCCTTCTCTGAATATATCGGTTTGTGGTGAATTGAATKTAAATTGACACCAAAATCAACCTAACACGTCTGTATATGCTCTCTTTCAAAATGCCTGTACGTATAGTCGGTCCATAGTGAACGAATAAGAGTACGTACCTTATAACTTATCATATACGTTTTGCATTTGTACAGTAAGGTGCACCAGCAGAGCAGCAACTTTATAAATCGAATGAAAGTTTTACCAATTAATTTGCCAAAAAATTGTTTTGAGTTWGGTGGTGATTATATAGAGGATATTRCATGGGCGCGCGGAGATRCGGATTTTATCTTCRAGTGTTGCAAAGATCTCTCATAATTGAAAGTAGCGRRAAAAAAAGGTGTTTGTTTCCCTTAATATTTCTCGTCCTCAAATTTTGCRCATTTGAGTSTAAGARCTTATGATGTGAAAGCAAACGTTTCAGTGGCTTTTCTTCACAAAAAAAACTGAATCTAGTGATTTCTATATGACGTCACATTTATGCTAAATAGATTGCCATACTTGTTCCCCGCTATGGGTGTGCCAACAATCGTTTRAGTAAAAATAACCTCTTTTTGCTCTTTGACAGTGCGCTAAAAATCGCCAAACTACAACACTAATTAAAATCAAACTGGAAGATGGTGCCCTGTTCAGTGGCGATAAAGAGCGCGGCTCTAGTACCCGCTTTGATTGATTTTTTATCTTCTTTAAAAAAGAAACGTTGTGTTATCTTAAAAGTACGTGGTATTTTCATTTTAAATGTGAAAATATCCGATAAAATGAAAATTGAGATKATGCGATTATTGCACAGTTACTGAGTTTTCGCAGCTGCGTACGCGTGGGACTGGAAGCGACTGCGCACTTTKKTTTYMMCMMCMAWTYSRA